ATAACATAGAAGAAAACTCTCAAAATACTCAGAAGAGGCTTACCTTAGGTGTAGAAAAGACTTTCCCTATGTATACGGTTGGAATAAGGGTAATCTTGACAATAAAAAAAACACAAATTTGTGAACAACCGCTTGATCGGTGGGAGGGGATGGTCACCAGAGTGAAAAAGGAATTCAAATCGTGCCTAGGATAATAGACCGCTTGAGCGCCCTGAGGGCGACCCCTGCTATTCTTCCATTTAGCCTTTGTCCAAATTTATTTCAAGTCTTTAGAGACTACTTTAGCAAAGGTTAGCAAGCATAGGACGGTCTCTATTAATTTTTTAAACCTAAAACTAAGCAAAAAACTTGTCATCTTAAACACTAAAGGGGGTTGCTCAAAAAGGGTCCGATTATGTGTCAAACCTATATGTTCAAAGCACCCAAAAGATTTAAAAAAAAAAATCTTTGAAAATCACTTAAGAGACATACTTGAATCAAATATTGATTCCATTTTAACACTAATCATCCTAAATCTATTAAACCAATGGATCATCTTAAGTCTCAAGGTCATTATCTTGCCCTAAACATGAAGGTGCATATTGAGTTCTTTTAATGTAGTTAGGGACAACCCAAGGTAAAACAAGACCTTAAGCGAAAACTATATATGAGGCCCTATTAATTTTTTGTCTATTAATATATTATAATTTTATTTTTTATTTATTTAAAATTTTATTTTTTGTTTATTTTTTGAAATACAAAATATTAATCAAGTTTTGACAATAAATATTTTTAATAGGTAAGATAGTTAATTCAATCAATCTTATTTGATCGAAAATAAGATATTATTAATTTAAGTTTTGAACAAGTAATTTAATGATAAAATATGTGAGCAAATGATAATTTTAAGATAACAAAGAATTTTTCTTTACCTATGAGTTATATGCACGCATGAAGTACAAAACTTTGATAACACAGACAATTTAAACATAAATTATTTAGACTAAAAATTTATATTAAAGGACCGCCAAGTGCCACCCAATGGAGTCACAGAACTCCATGAGCACATTCACTCCGGAGAGAATCCTCAGAGGAAACATTTGGACAAATGTCCAAAAGATGAAGCCCACAGTCGGGCCCGACCCGTTCATCAAGATGATAGACCCTTTTCCCCCCGCCAAATGTCATGGATTACTTTCTGGAACAAAGACTTCGCGAGATCCAACAAGAGCTGGGAAATGTGAAAGAAGTGGTTAAGGGGAAAGTTACCAACACCATGGACGCTCTAGTCCAACAAACTGAGTTGCCTCTCACCCCTGAGATTCTTCATTTTCCTCTCCCTCAAAAATTTCGAATGCCGTTGATAGAGACATTTGGACAAAAAAAGAATCAATTTTATAGATTTTCATCACAAAAAATTATGTATATAAATTTTCTATGTGAGTGAGTGAAATACAACTATAAGCACACCCAAAAAGTTATAAAAACTTAAATCAAAGCTCACACGAAGGATTAATTTTGGATCTAAAAAAATTAGATATTAATTTGAACTATTAAAATTTGGCCCCTAAAATTTTGAATCATATCTAAAATACACAAAAAAAAAAAAATCCCTATTATACTAAAGGGTAAATTTTATGGACACTTTCTAAATTCTGGGTTTAACCAAGTAGAGAGTAATTTTGGACCTAACAAAATTAGATAGTGATTTGAATTTTTAAAATTTGAACCATAAAAATTTGAATCATAGTGAAAATAAAAAATTAAAAATTAAGCCTACTATACTAAAAGAATAAATATTTTGGGGAGCCCTCTAAAATTTGGGGCCCTAGGCAAGCAAGTTAGCTACCTAGGCCTTGGGCCGACCCTGATGTAGTTTCGACACATGATATTCTTCTTTCAATTAAACGATTTTGAATTTTAATCGCTATAACATCATAATCATGTAACAAGTTGAGATTTACATGAACTTCACAAAATTAGCTAATTATAAAACATAATGCTCAAAATGCTCAAAATGCATATCTAGATTCAAATGGTGCAGCCCATGAGCTTGCTAGATGGGGATTAAAGGTAAAGCGCATAGGCCAACTCCAAGGGGTCATCTCCCATATTCTGCGGGCAAAGCTGTGTATCAAACTAGCTTCCCTATTAAATTAGGACTTAGGGGTTGTTTGATACTATCACTTAATACTTAAAATTAAATATTTAATAAATTAAACTTATTTGTTAACTTAAAATTCATACTATTTAATATTTTAAGTATTTCTTAAAAATATGCTAAAATTTTAAATAACAAAGTCACATACTTATCATTTAAATGCTAAAGATAATCCTAAAGAGGAGACATAATAAATAATCATTATTTTTGGAAAGAATTTACTTATTAACTTCTTGGGAAAATTTCATTCACACATCATATAGTTAGGTCCAAATTCAATGACACCCTCTCCTGATTCTAAAATTTTATTGCACCCCATTCGAATTTATACTATCGAATCATGAACACCTTTTAACAGCAACTTCTGTCTCTCACACTAGATAAAATGCACAATTTGATTATTTATTCTTTGAAAATGCCAAAATTACCATATGTTATGTTAATAGACTAAAACGCCTTGGGTCGGCACTTTATAAAGTTTAGTTTTTTATTTGTTTGATAAGTGGGGTGATATATTTATATCTAATGAAATTATTTTTTACACAAAATAAAATCATTCAACATAATAAGGTCAAAAATGCATACAAACAAAACAAAATAAAAAAACTAATTTTAACATTTTACCAAAAAATAAGGTTAATTAGAGTCATTTTCAATTGATCCCAATGAATTTTTATCATTTTAAAGCGTTGTATGATAACTTTGTTATAAATATCACTGAGAATATATATATATATATATATATATATATATATATATTAGTCGTCATATTATCACTTATTTGATTACATAATCGAGTTTTTATAATTTTTATAATTAAAAGTGTTTTCTCTATAATAAAAATTACAATCGATAAAAGCCAATATCAAAGTCCAACTCATTTTCAACTCCTCTACTATCGTTTGACCACTTTTTACACATCAACCTTCACATATTAAATTTAAATATTATTTGATAAAATTTAATGTTAATTGAATAAATTTGGTCTTAAATTGATAAATTTGAATATTAATTTTGTGTTAATTTAATAAAATTAAATATTAATGTAGTGTTAATTTGATAAAATTTAATGTTAATTGAATAAATTTGAATGTTGCTTTGATAAAATTGAATATTAATTTAGTATTAAATTAAAGAATGATATTAATTTGATGAGATTAAATGTTAAATTAATAGAATTTAATATAATTAAATTTTAATTTGATAAAATTGAATGTCAATTTGGTGTTAATTTAATGAAATTAAATAATAATTTAATGTTAAATTAAAGAAATGATATTAATATAATTAAATTAAATATCAAATTTGTGTTGATTTGATGAAAACAAATATTAATTTAGTTTAAATTAAAGAAAATACATTAATTTGAAAAAATTAAATATTAAATTGATGAACTTGAAGATTAATATAATAGAACTAAAAGGGAGTGCACTGAAATTTTAAAATCAAGAAGGGGTATCATTGAAGTTAGGCCTATTTACAGAGGACGTGGATAAAATTTATTCTATAAAATACTGAGGGATATTTTTGTAGAACAATATTTGTTGTTAACGCCGGAAGCAAACAATAATGGGTGTCAATGAAATTTCAAAATTAAGAGCAGATATTATTGAATTTAGACCTAATTACAAACAAATTAGATAAAATTTTCTCTAACTTCTTCATTGAGATAAACTTAAGAGAATCGTGACGTACGACAGTACTGGGAGGGAGGAGGGGCATCGAGATTTAAAATCATGATTAGGTAGTAGTTGAAACCAATTCACAATTTAATTTTGAATGAGCATATGATGACATTCATTTCGTCACTAGGGATGGGTTATCCACATGTCCCGTTAATTGGCCTGAAAAAAATAAGTCTAAAACTTGATATGTTCGATAGTTGATCTGTCCGAGCTCGATCTTAATATCCTTAAAAAAAGGCTTAGATTTGCCCCCAAATCCATTACTTAGCCTGAAATCCGGCCCAAGAGTCCGCCCATCAAACCCATCCCGATCACCCTTCTTTTAAAAAAAAGTTACACTTTTATATCATTAAATTTGAAACTTTGTAATAAGTCTCCCAATGTCAGAATTTAAAATTTTAAAAATTTAGATACTATAAATAATGTATTATTTTATTTTCTATTTATTAAACATACAAGTTTTAAATGATAAAGTAATACAAATGATAGATAAGTGAGTAGATGTCAATCTATTTAGAATGTATTTATTATATTGGATATAATTCATTTCCTAATTAAAAATAAAATTATTTATTATTTTATTTTTATCTATTTTGACTCTATTTTTGGTTCAAAAATATAATTTATATAAATATTAAGTTACAAAAATATTTATTATTTTTAAATAAAGTTATATATAAAAAAGTTCGTGAACAAGCCCGTTCAATAGGTTTATGGGTTGGATTGCGGGTAACCTATCTCTATCCAAAGTCTGGCCCGATCCGGCTGATAACTCACTTGGATAAGAGTTTAGGTTTACACTATCCAAACCGGCCATTTCACGGGCCTAACCCGACCCAACCCATGAACACCGCTATTCGTCACATTCCCACAACCACTATTTGTCACATTCCCACAACCACTGTTCGTTTGTATCAACCATATAACTCTTCCTAATAAAGCTACTATTTGGTCTTCATTGCTCAAAGGCAAACCAATATTAATTGGTTTCTCAAATTTTACTTCAAATTACACAAGGACAAACCATATCAGTCAGATCAGATCTTCCTCTTATCTCAACTGTCATCAATTCACATATAGTTTTATCCTTTCTGTGGCAACACATGTTTATCTCAACATCTGCATTTCATCCACACCAATAAATTTCTACTAAATGCATAAAATTCTAATTGAAACCAATTGTAAGATATAATACAATAGAGTAAGAGAACTGTACAATTTGGGAAATTGAAATACACTTATATGGATTTTCCTCGTAAAACTCAGTGTATGTCAATACTTAAATGTCTTTATTCGTCGATGTCACGCCGATGAGGGAAAGCTTAAAGGGCAGTCCTGTGCACCAGGCTATCGCCCAAGAGAAAGCTCGCGGCCTATAAATTGTTAAATCACGTATTAGCTTTACCAAGAAAGAAACAAAACCGAAAACATAGTTTATATTGTTTTAAAGCATAACTGGCTAATCCCTAGAAAAACTCATTTCTGATTATAAATTTCTGGAATAATAAAATAATTTAAAGGGATTTAATAACATACCATACATCCACCACCAATATGATGAGAAATCTTTCACCACTGCTCTTTTCTGTTCATGTTCTTAAGTTCCTATCAAACAGTTGATTTATGAAATTGAAATCAATGCTTCTAGCAGGTACAACACCATTGGGTGTTAAAGAATAGAGCAAGAATGCCACCATGAGTCAGCTGCTAGAAACAGGAAGATTAATATAATTCACTGCAAAAAGTACCGATGTTTTGGTGAACTAAGCTAGTCGAAAACTATAAACCAGACAACTTGAAAACTAGAGCATCAGAGTTCATATTCACAAGAAGAAATAAGATCCAATTGCATTAGTCATGGAGTTAAACCTCATGGGGTATTTCTGTGTCCATTTACTTGTGTCTGATTTCTCAAAATATAGGTACCAGGTCATTTTATTCTCAAAATCTTATACAGCTACTAAGTCACTAGTTATCTAACACAAGAAAACTTGATGGATCAATGTTTGATGCCACTAGAGGCATCATATATGTCTTGGTCACCTATGTAAGTGTAGTATTCTGGAGTCACATGGAAAAGGGGGATAACATTCATTTCTTTTTTCAGTTTCACACTCTTATAAGAAAGTTAAGGAGGATATCTTCAGGAAATCAAATTGAAAGAAAGAAATCATAGAGGTATATGTTTATATTCGGAAGTTTAGAACATTCTCATTAATAGGTTCCATTTTTTTTCCCCTTAAATTTTGAAAGTATATTGAGGCCATTGAGTGGAAGCATATAGGGTGTTCAGAGCTGAAATTGTAAACCTCCACTGAGGCTTTAAAGACTGGCATAAGAACTTCAGGGTAATGGTAGTAGGTAGCAACCACAAGCTGATCATTCAATTCTTCTCTATACTTCCGGTATTCCTCTTATTCATTGTCTTTTTCTTCTCTATTTTATATTGCTCAAAGATTTCCTGGTCGAATTTTTCTTAATTTGGACTAACATTGATGGTGGGTTTAATATATTTCCGAATAAAGTTCAACATTCCCTACCAACATGAAGTGGTTATCATATAATTTGAGCATATATTTCAAATATCTACCCAATTACAGGCAAAAACAGATATTAGGGGCACGATATCGCTCGATGGATATGGTTGTTTGCATGGCATTAGAAATCAAGCACAATTTCAGTATAAAATTACAAACTATCAAACAAAATGAAATTGGGAGGGGAAGAAAAACTATAAAAATTTGACAGATATTAATCACCCACTGAGCATGCTATAGACCCATGATCAAGTTTCACTGCAACCATAATAATGCTTGTGACAATCCTCCACTAGACTCATTATGCCAAAGAGGAACTTGAACCTCAAATAATTAAATTCACAGAAACAAAATTTTGAAAATACCTTCACTTTTTTGACACCATTTAGGCAATTTGTTCTATATTTCCCCATCATGGTTATTTAGCACAGCAAACGAGTTGGAATTTTGTCAATGGAATTAGATCTATTCAAATTACTTCGTAATCGAAATTTCTCATTTTATGTATGTACAGAAGTCTAGATACAAACTAGTCAAATTTTTCAATACTCTCAAAATAAAGGGCAAGACATATATTATTGTTGGTTGTGAATGTAATTGTTTTTGGCTCTTCAAATGTTTACCTCAACTCAACTTAATACACCCTTTATCCCAATTATTTGGTACCCCCTACATGAGGTCTCTTTCTTCATCATGCTCTATCAAGGGCCATATTTCCACCATTAAACCGTAATTTATCAAATTTGTAACAAAAAGAAAAAAACACAACCACGCTAAGTAATGTTTCTTCAAAAATTTCTTTTCCATTTCTTACTTATTCAAAAAACTTCAGTAAAAATCTTCTTCTAATAAGGTTGATATTTCTTATTTACTCAAAAAAATGAAAAAACCTGCATATATTTCAAATAGCTATTTGATAAATGAATTACCATTTTTTTTTCTTTCTACTTACATCTAAAATTTGAGACATTTAGAATATAATATAGTTGCCTTCCCTCAGAATTTCAAAGTAAATATACTGGCCGATTATTGGGCACAAAATTAATAAAATTATGCAACAGACGCAAAGTATTACATTTTGGAGGATGAAGATCAAGTCATACGAAACAAATCCCATTTAAATTGAACTTCCAGAATCAAATCACAAGTTTAATGATATAGTAACTTGCCTATCTATCATCACAGATAAAAAAAAAAATGTTTAAAACTTCAATTCTCACCGTGACGAGTAGTGACAATGTCATTGTCGTAGGGATTAACCGGGCGATATCTTGCTCGGAAGGGCCACAAAGAGGCCAACGGCCTCCACCTCAACCACCTGCACCGCCGGCTCCTACTTGCTTCTCTGTGAGAATCCTCAGGCTCAGGCTCAGGCTCGGGCTCGGGCTCGGGCTCAGGCTCCTGAGTACAACTGTCACCTGGAACTGGCACCTCATGGCGACAAACGGGACAAGAATTGTGAAGCCTCAACCAAGGTACAATGCAATCAGAATGGTATATATGATTACAAGGCAATTCTCTCACTTCCCCATCAACCTTGAATTCCTCCTTGCAAACAGGACAATATGGCTCATTAACCAAATGAGAAGGCGAAATTGTCACTTTTGGCACAGCATTGATGGTTGAATCAGGCGCTGGTGGTGGACCTGGCCTGTCGTTTTGAGTCAGCTCCACAATCAGCTCGTCCAGGCCCGGTCCAACGAAGTAATTCTGGGGATGAACCCCTGGAGGGAGCAACATTGTTCCTGGAGGTAGATTTGGTTCAACAGGGAGAGGACCAGCGTTCGTGGGCATAGGCCAAGGCCATGGGCGGGCCATAATTCCGGCTTCCGGGCCCCAGTCATCATCCATCTCGTGGAAAACACGATTTCGCCTCCTGGGCCTCCCAGGCCAAAACCTGTTTGGTCTTCCACTTTCCAGACCTCCATGAAATCTTCCATCAACATTCTGATTTCTCCCCCTAGGCACTCGATGGCTTATATCGGGTAATTGATTCTCCCTGCTATCTGAGCTACCATTTTGCAACCTGACTGGGGGATTCATCATGAGAGATAGGGATTCTAATATGCGGGCCTCCGGGGAGGGATCAAATTGCGTGAAATCAACAACGAGTGTTGGCCCGGCCATGTCAATTTCAAATAGAAACTCCCCGAAACATCGAGGGCAGACGATCTCAGATGGGTTCCCAGTAGCGATTCTGACCGATCTATGGCATTGGTAGCACCAATAGAGCTGGTACACTCTCTCCTCTCCATTGGTCTCCTCATTAGGGGCACCCGAAGACATGATTTTGCCGTGTTAGCTTCAAATTCAAATGGGTTTCAAATTCTAATTTTTGGGTATTCCTTTGTTTGTTGCAAGAATCAATATGATTGAAGAATTGAAATTTATATTCATATTTACGCAAAACAAAAGGAAAAGCAATACCTTTCTGGGGTTGCATGAAAAGAGATTTGGATTTGCCTTGCCGTCTCTTCTCTTCATCTGTTTTGTTTCTTCTCTACAAAGAAAAGAATTGAGGGGTGGTTTGTGGAAAGGTTTCTGGTTGAGAAGGGTTTGGCCTTTCAAAAATTTGAATTGGCAGGGAATGGTAACGGCTAACTTTCCAAGGTGGGGACGTTGTTGCTACCACTCCCTTCGGAGAAAATATTATTGTAACAAGGAAACAAGTGGATGCATATATTATTGTAACCATCTCTCTTATGTCAGACATTGGGTGACACCACTTTATCACTTACTTGATATCAATATCCGATAAAAGCGTAATAAGTAAATCTCATGTATCTAACATCAGATGTCAAGAACTGAACTGATACATGGGGGATCAAAACCACATTCGGTGGCAATTTTAACCGATTACTCATTAATTAGTCTATAAATTAGTGAGTTATATATTTATATTAATTAATATTGATCTTAAAGGGTTGAAATAATATAATTCATTTTAATTAAATAGGTTAAGATGAATTATAAATAAGTATCTATCAGGTTGAGTATTTATTTTTATATTCAATAACAAAATTAATAAAATTAAATATACATTAATATATTAAAAAATACAAACACTAATACACTAAAAAATATACACACATTCACTAATATACCAATATACACACCCTAAAAAATACACATATTAATACACAAAAGCACACACATCCCTCAAAAAAACACATATACTAATACACAAAAATAATACCTCAAAATACACTCTCTCACACACACACAAACGTTAGTACACTAATACATGCATACATTAATTCACTAATACACTAAAACAAACATCCACACATATATTAGTACACCAAAACATGCATCCACACACTAATATCCTAAAAATACACACAAACATACACTAAAACACACACATACACCAGACCTAGGCTCAAACCGAACTCGAACCTAAACTTGGACTTGGACCTGAACCTTACCCTAACCCATACCCAGACCGGACCTGGACCCTAACCCCAACCAAAGACTTGGACCCGAACTCGATCGATCCCCAAACCTTGAAAACAAAATCTAATGTTAATATTTGTTGGTCAATAAATCTTTACTACTTTAAAAAGTGAACATATTTGAAAAATATTTTTTTTTTACTTTTATCCTCCAAAATCACAACTATCTCATTCTTATCCCTCAACATTAAAGCTAAAATAAACCCAAGCCTCCTCATGTTCTAAAAAAAAAAAAAACCTACGCCCCTCAATCTTCTCTCTCTCCTCTATCGTTTCATCTTCATCTTCCCTCACTCAAAATAAATATTTTTCTCTTTTTTCTTTACCTCTCTCAGAAACCCTCGATGTTTTCCCCTTTCTTCCTATTTTTCTCTGCTGCTGTTAGCATGCGTTACTCCACACATTCAATTCTCTATGCATCTCAATATTTGATGCATCTCTACTTTTTGTGGTATTGTTCTTCCACTGATATCTATTATAATTTTTTTTTTAGTTCATCCTAGATTTTATGATACTAACAAAATTGAACTTTCACGGAGAAATCAAATACAAACACACCATGTGTATTAGCATCCAAAAGAATAATTAGAATTTGATTACTGTTAAAAAGTCTAATAAATTGTTTGTTTAGAGTAATAACAATAAAAAAATTATGTTATAATTATCACGAATATGAATTACAATCAAACATTTTAGTAGAGATGTTTGTTAGACTTTTTAATTAGTTTTAGTTGACTTTCACTAGTATGGTTGTGATATATAATTTGAAGAAGAAGACTTAAACAGTTTTCTTAAAGTTACGTATGTGTGTTGTTTTTTAATTTGAAGAAAGGGATTTCACTCTTCATTAGCGAATTTGAAGGTTGAACTATTGGTCTTGGGCCATCCAAAATTTCCAAGAATTTTAGATCTATGCATCATTATTTATTTGTCATACATATGAATTGTCATGCAATAAACCTCAAGATGAGGACCACAGGGTGCGCCCAACACCTAAAGATGCATATACATCAGTGACCCTTCCGTCTCTCACATGAGACCTTATTTTTTAAACTTCTGCCTCAATTTTTTTTATTCGACAGTCAAGAATGTTTGGACCAGTAAAAGGCAAGTCATTCGTTGAGTATTCATGAATGATAAATCCCTCATGGCTTAGCCAAAAGGTTGCTAAAATTCATACTTAAGATGTCTGAATTTACAGTTTGTCCATATTACCACTTTTCTTCCTATTTATTGAAGATTATACTGAAGTAGATGAAATCTCTTGATCTTTCTATATAGTAATGATCCCATGTGTGTAACAGGTATCTGTCAATCCATTTTCACAATCTATTAATTTTGGGAGTAATTTTCCTGAATAGGTAGGCAAATTCCAAAAGATTTATTTTTTTTCTTTATTTTTCTGGGGTTCTTTTTTTCCTTTTTTTTCGTGTTTGGTCCATTCAATTAGTTAATTTTTCTTCTATGCTGATTTTAGGTTTTTGGCTAAGTGTTTAGAGTTTTTTAGGGCTAACTTAAGAGATTAATGGACATTAAGGTGAAGAAGAAGGCTGGTCAAAAGGAGTAGCAGGTTTCTATTGCTTCACCAAGAATTATGTGCCAAAAAACATTTTTTACTACTGAGATTGCAAATGTTGGAGGAATTAAATACCATTGCAAAGTTGAAGAGAGGTTTGAAGACTTGTTCAATGGTGCGGTGGCGTGTGATGCATGGCTCAATGCTGTCCAAATTGAATGTCTTCAATGCTTAATCTAACATTTTGAGTTTTCTTAGTAATTTTTGTCGAGATTTGATCAACAATTCTTATTTCTTTCATTAAACCAATGTTGTCGCTTCCACGATCACTGGTTGGTGTGAAGTCATGAGATCTAAGACCGTTTCAAGACCAAATAGAATTAAAAAAGTGTCTCACCGACAAAAAAGACCCATAACTTCGTGTCTTTCTTAAACTTTAAATATTGGCTAATGATCCCATATAAACCTCATATTGGGTTGATTTACTTTCTTGCAAGAACTAGTAATGCCTGGGGCTAGGAAATCGATTTGGGTGATTAGATGCGGCATCACATGGGTATCAATTCAGGCCTTACTTTTGCAATTCTTTATAATATACAACAGTTTTTTTTCCGTTTTTATTCTTTGTTGCATGGTTGGATAGAACTTGATTTCTTGGCTTGACCAATACGACAAGTGCGTTACCCATGTATTTGTGATTTGTGGTCACTTTAGTATTCGGTAGTTTATATTTTTAATTTGACTATCTCGAGTCTCGATCATTAAAAATAAGATATTAAGTGGTTTTAACACAAATATGATTTGATTTAACAAGAAAACTTATACAATTCATAGTTAAGTGAATTGTTTTCCCTATCTGTTTTAGAAACTCATAATAATTAGGAAACTTGTCTATAAAGATTATGACAAGCACAAATTGATTTCAGGATAAATATTGCTAAGAACTGCATGTTTCGTCGAGATTTGAATATTGAAATTTTTGTAATTTTTGTAATAATAGTTTATCTTATTTGATACTTGAAATAGTTCATGTGCAAAACACCCTAGATATACTTGTTTAAAGATAAATCCTACAAGAAAACTTATAAGGTGCTAAATCCATGTTTAAAATTATATGTAATGACTTAAGTTCATTTTTTTTTTATCTCAAAAATATTCTTCCTTGAAAAGAAGTTAATCTTTTCTTTCTCATATCTATCAATATCCATATATAGGTTAAGAGTTTGACTAACATTAAAATTTTTCCTCTCTCTTATCTATCTATATCCATATATAGGTTAGGTATATATATATAGTAACATTAAAAAAAATAGTAACATTCAAATACAAAAAAAAAAGTTACTATTCAAATTCAAATTTATGTTACTATTTTTTTTTATCATGTTACTGTTCATATATTATTATTTTTGAACATGTTACAGTTTTTGTTAAATATGTTACTATTTTTGTTGAACATGTTATTGTTGTTATTTTTTAAAAATATTAATATTGAATGTTTCAATTTTTTTTATGTTTAAATGTTACTATTTTTTTGTGTTTAAATGTATTATTTTTTGTGTCTAAATGATAACTTTTTTTTTTGTATTTTAATGTTACTATTTTTTATTTTTAATGTTACTATATATATAGATAGATAAGAGAGAAGAAAAATTTTAATGTTAGTCAAATTCTTAACCTATATATGGTTATAGATAGATATGAGAGAGGAAAAATTTTAATGTTAGTCAAACTTCAAAGATTTAGGAGTTTTTAATTTTTAGTTTTATTTTACTTCTAAAGGGAAGAGATAGTATGGTAAAATTGACTAAAAACGGACTTCATACCAAATAAGTTTCTTTGACAGACTTAAGTCCAAACAAGTTCATATGTGAGAACCGGCCTCCAAATTACCTATGAAATTAAACAGTGATTATAATGGACAGCCCGTCAAAGATCAGTCCACAAACAAAGGGTCACTTGCAAGTAGCCTGCCCATCAGCACCTTTTAAGAAGAAACACGGGGCGACCCGTATCCTAGACCATTGGCTATGAAATAAATCCTGGGCCGTGTCAATCCTGTAACATACAGCCCGGCCAGTCCACGGGATTGGCCATGGCCTAAGGTCAGCCTAACCTTGCCCGAAACATTCATGATCTTTCGCCCAATTCGTGTATGTCTACTCACACACACACACACACACACATATATATATATCTTCCTTTTGTCCATGCTAACATAGAAGCAATTGAACTGGGTTAGAATATGGGATTGACCAGGGAGAAGGCTAACTAAAGCATGTAACATCTAACTTCTGCATATGTGTAGTAATAGTTCAGTGAAAATTGCACCTTATGCTAATGGTGCATTAACTGGTAGAAGCCCATTAAAGGCAAATCCAAACCCCTCCGCCCAAAAAACAACCAAACACACCCTAGGCCCACACCCACACTCAAAAATCCCAAACCCCTGTTTTTTGGGCTTGTTACATGTTCCAACATGGGTGTAGGAGCATCTTCGAT